AATGTTCACAAGTGACAAATGAAACTGTCAACATCAAACAGAATCTAAACTTCGTAACTCGACGTAACTGTCATGCCTTTGCAGTAGTATGCAATTAGTGAACTTCGATCCCGATCGAGTGTGAACTCGGTTACCGGTACATAGCGATCCATATCGGGATCGAAGTTCGTTTTTTATGTACTGCTTCTGGCCTTCTGTCCTTACCGATGAACCTTCAAGAGATGAACAGTCATTCTTTTTATTATTTGAAGACTTCTTTACATTAAAATGCACTTGTCTAATCGGACAAGTGCCCATCAATATTCACTTGTCCGTAAGTTTTTTTCACTAGTACCGGACAAGCGGACAAGCGTTAATGTCGAGCCCTGATGGAGTGAGTACATACCTTAGGTCTGCAATGGAGTGAGTACCTACCCTGAGCTTGTGATAGGGCGAGTACTCATCCTGAGTCTGTGATTGAGTGAGTACTGACCCTGATAGAGTGAATACCTACCCTAAATCTATAATATGGTGAGAACCTAACCTGAGTCTGTGATATAGTGAGGACCTAACCTGAGTCTGTGATAGAGTGAGGACCTAACCTGAGTCAATGATAGAGTGAGGACCTACCCTGAGTCTGTGATAGAGTGAGGACCTACCCTGAGCCTCTGTTGGAGTGAGTACCTAATCTGAGCCTGTGATAGGGTGAGTATCTACCCTGAGTTTATGATAGGGTGAGTATCTACCCTGAGTTTTTGATGTAGTGAGTACCTACCCTGAGCCTGTGATGGAGTGAGTCTGTTTAAAATTACTCCCCGAGAGTGACCAGATAATGATGTTTCCTTGCTCGTCTGAACTAATCATAGAGTTCCCACTGGAGGCCAAATCACAGATAGGGTGTCTATGCCCTACAATAATTACAATGTTCTATCAAATCAATACTGAGGAAAAGTTGTTTTAATAATCTTGAGTATTTTTCACCCCTGTGGTGAAAAAAAATTCTTTGGTGTAATATTTTTTTTATTTTGGTATTTGCCATAATCCAGAAGAATATGAAAACAACAGGAAGGTTTGTTGCTTATCACCTGTCAGGCTTTCTTTTAATGTCGAGAATGTGACATTTGTTCCTTTGGGTACATACCTATTAAACTTTCTTTCAATGTGACATTTGTTCCTTTGGCGGGGACATTAAACACATGGATCTCTCCCAGCTGTGTACCTAGAGAACAGACAAAAATATGATCAAAACTTTCAACCCATGGACTTTGCATAGCTATAAACATACATGTATAGTGTATACATTAAGAACAAGGACCAAGCATGGAATATCAGGACTTCCCGGTTCAAAAAAGCTCGACTTTTTCAATTCTACAAGCTGTGGTACTTTTGATGCATTATTCTTTAAAACTTTGTTTTCATTTGAAATTATCTTCTTCCAACATTTCTTTATAGCAACAAATATGTACTTATATATTGATGTACACGTGTTTAAAAACATGTTTGAAAAAAATGTGTTTTTAAAAGCTTACCAATACAGATAAAATTTTCTCCTATTCCTGTAATCCCTCTTCCAAAATTAGCATGTTCTGTAACAAAGTGTTATAAAATATTTCAAGCACTGGGGGTATGTTGGATGCTCAGGGGCATTAAATATATCTTCATGTCTAATATGCTCATAAGTGAATTAATGAGATGGCTGAAAAAAAAAAACTTCAACACCAAAAACCATTTCTCTCCTTTTAGTTTCATCTTCTTTTTTTTCCCTTAAGGTGACATTGTGTAAGTTATTTCAGATCAGGTTCAGGATAAACCTTCTGGTCACATGCAATACTGATCTCCCCTAGTATGAAATTCTAATGTTTTCTCCATTACAAAATTATGATACAAGTAGTACTTGACAGATATGAACTCATTCATTACATTTATTTTTTTAGTCATTATAAAACACAATAATACAAGCATTATAATGTTTAGATAAAGTAGTCAGTTTTGATTATAGTAATGTTAAGTCATCATATTACCTAATATATCTGTACTGTTGATATCACCCAGAGCATGCCAGTATATCATTGCAGACCCATCTGATTCAAACATCTGTACAGAAAGACAAAAAATAAAAGAAAAAATTAAATGTCACTTATAAGAATGAAGATACTCACAACACATGGTAAAATTCCATATTCATGTTTGCTTCTAATATCCTATAACTTTTAAGTTTACATTCATATTTAGAAACTTTAGACACAGCAAGACACCAAGGCATTTCTAAATAAAAATAGAGGATAGACTAGGAAAAAGGAAAAGATCTTGTTAAATATATTTTCTGATTGATGTTGATGGTTACTCACCACTATATATAATATGAATGAAGATGTTTACCTGTATTCCTTTTAATGAAGTTAAAATAAAAACTGTTCTGGTTGGAAGGCATACCCATTTGGCCTAAAATGAACATCAAAATCTAAATTCAACCAATATTAAAACAAAGTTCTTTGTCAATATGCAGGTCTGCCAGGCAGTTTTTTCGAAAGAAAAAAAAATCAAATTCCTAAGAGTCACTTCTCCTCTGTATTTTGTTTTTGCTCAGCATTTGCACTCTGCCTGCTTATTGTTCTCTATCCATATGCTCTAGAGCTTGTATAAAAGTTAAAGTTTTCATGCATTTGCTTAATATTAATAATTTTAAGAGGGCTGGGTGGTTGTGGCCATTTTCAGACTATATTGATCTCCTTTAGAAGAAGAGCTCCATATGAAGATATACAAAAATGATCAAATTTTAAAACTAAAATGTATGAAATTTTTCTTTGCCAAATGATAGTTCACAGCTTAAGATATCATATCTAAAAAATTTAGTTATATCTGATGGTTAATTTGTTGACCCCCCAGCCTCCTTAAATTAAAATAAACTTTGTCAAGAAAAAATTAAATCATGACTACTGAGCTCATCTGCTAACATATTCTTTGCTCACTGTACTCTCTCCATCACACATATGGTAGCAGAGGATTTCAATCAGGTCTAGGCGGCCTCCGTTTTTGGAGGATAGCTAGATTCAATATGGCGGCCAAATTTTTTACCATATATGGAAACCGCATTGCATTGTGGGATAGTTTATCCTCCAATTTCAGAGGATAACACAGGTAATTTTCAAACGCCTCGTGCCTACCTTTAATCAAAAAGTGCAAGCACCAGAGTACATGTATATTAAAGTTTAAACATTAAACTATCGATTGTATGTGGCGATTTGAGATTCTATGTCTAGAATTTTTACAATACGCTTTCAAAGTTGGCACTTCTTGCACTCCATTTTTACTTAATATTTCTTGGCATTTTGTCATATTTTTATGCTTTTCCCTATCGAGACAAATAAAAAGGGACTTAATCAATATTACTTTCACATTTTCTCTTAATTTAAAAATGAAGAAAAAAAAGAAACACAGAAGGAAACATATTTTAAACACAAAATATACTCTGCCTTATAATTTAAGCAATGAATGAGTATAAATTAAACAGATAAATAAATAATATTATAAAAAAAAATAAATTATTTGAAAAGCATATAAATAAATAAAATAGATAATTTAACATGTTTACTAAGAAATTAACATTATCATATACATGTACATACATATGTATAATAAATTAAAACAAAATATTACAAAAATGATGTGTTTCAGGATTATTCATTAAAAGAAATACTAGTAATACTTAAACTTAATTTTAAAAAAAAAATATTTATCAACATTTGTAAACTGTTTTACACATAATTACGGTACAGGAAAATCAGCTTGGCTATAATGAACGTCTCAGACAGGTAAGGGCAATCGTTGTTAACTAAGCTTTAAAGTTTAATTAAAACTAAATAATTGATTGACAGCATTTACAAAATAAATGTTATATTGATTTAATATCTAGATATATCCATCATCACATGAAATTTTATGTTTTATTTGTTACGGTTCATAAACTGATAAATGCAAGAGTTGCTGTTATTTGTTTGGTTAAGAGTTAACTGCCCTTTGTTTTGAAAAATCCGGTAGGTGGCGACACCTCTATCCTCTGTTTTTAGAGGATAAAATCTATCCTCCAAAAACAGAGGCCGCCTAGACCTGTCAATGGAGCCAGCATGTCAGACACAGACAAATTAGGCTAAATCCCCATTACTTTTCGTAAATTTCCAAATACAGCATGTATCTTGCATTAAATACTGTTGCACAACTCCTATATTCAAAGCACAGAATATTTCATAGGGGGTTAAAATCACAATCCTGTTATGTTTTTCTAGTAGATGCCATAGGTACTCCCCAGCTTAATTATTATAAAAATATATATCTACTATACTTGTTATGTTTATAGTATAGTAGATATATATTTTTTAACAATTAAGCTGGGGAGTGCCTATGGTAGAATAGATGGTGTACATCTAATAGCATGCTTTGAGGAAATTCGAATTAAAGTTTCTGTTGAATCTGTAATCTTCATTGAGAGAAATATTCATTTTGACACAATGAAAATACATACTTGTATTATCATTGGTGTGCTCTGCTGGGCTGCTGAAGGTTCTTTGCAGACGATGTTTCTGCTATTGACAGTGGATCCATCAGTGGATGCCGATATGATGTTGACAACAGCTTTATGGACAACAGCATAGTTCAGGACTCCTTTATCTAAAGCAACCAACACAGAAAGGTTGTTTGTAAGTGAAGATGCGCTGCTCTTCAAAATTAAAGGCTTTTCTTTGCGGTACATAGTGGAAAATTATGATGAGGTGTCGTTGAAACTTGTGTTGCTCGGTACGCGAGATAGCGCATGCGCTGATATGACACATATAATTTATTTGATAGGTCATACACTTAAATGAAATTATGTTAATGTCATATTAATTGACTGATCACGGTAAAGGAAGTAAAGAATTAAGTCACACCGCTTTTTAAAACCATTCTTGTTGCTATGAATCCAGCAAATTTATGCTCAAACAACTAAATTATATTACGAATCATTCAAAGAACAACCGTTATGACACAGGAGTTGGAAAACTCCGAGAAAGTTTTTAACTTCAAGTGCATCTATATTTTGTCCACGTTACTGCGTTAAAATAAATTGACAGCATATATTAAGTAGGTGGCGTTAATAAGGAACTATTCTTAGCTACTGTGCCAAGGAAAGTTTTTCAGGAAACCGAGTATCAGTTCGCGATAAACTTCTACGCTACTTCCTGGTTGTAGCTTGTCGGAGAAGGAAATTAAGAATAAGAGTGATGTTTTGGGACTACTCTTACTGAAATGTCAAGAAGAACGCAGTTAGCGGAGGGGGACGTACAGGTGAAGAAGGGGAGGCTACAGGTGAGAGACCGTTGTTTACATGTTATGTAATGAGGTGATAATAGCAGGTGCCCTACCATTGCCTACTGGTGTACAGTATTCAGTCTGTAAAGAGAAAAGAAAGTTGATTGTCATCCTCTTTAATTGCATAGTCATGAAAAAGATGACAACCTTTTTACACTCCCTTCATGGGTCAATGGAGTTATTTTCCTTTGTTCTGAGTAAAATTCTCTCTTTTTAACTGTTGCACATGACTACTTTAGTGAAAACGTGCGGATACTACTTAATTATCATTTATTTTAATTAAAAGTGCCTAGATCTAGAGTTTATTTATGTATTGAATTCTTATTTTTGGATGTCGTCGGTATATAAAAGGAGTGCGGGACGGTTCGCCCCTAAAGACCATTCGCGTTGAGACGTTTCGCCCCAAGATGCTTCGCGCCGAAGATCAATTAATTAATTATATGGTAATTATCACTTGTTAACAGCAATTATTAACTTCTTAATAACTTTTATACTGTGTTATATTAATCCAAACCAGACATAGACATAGAAATAAATTAAGGTATGTCACTTGTGAAATTAGTTTTATCAAAGATTTTTTTTTAGAAGTATATTTTTGATAAGTACTTATGTAGCATTACGCAAAATCCCAAAGAAAATTGGACTCAGTGTGCATCCTATTGTGCAACTGTAAAATGAACTTGAACCTTTTTGCACTTAAATTGTGCACTTAAATTGTAACTCTTGGGTTAATCGCTCTAACCAATGCTAACCTTTATCATATTTTACCAGAAGTAATCATGGCAATAATTATAATCTTATTTTACGTAAAATACATGTAGTTTGAATAATATTTATCATTGCAAAAAATCATGCAAATTACTGCACATAAATTATTGTGTGACCTTTTTGCTTTGCACTAAAAAGTATAGTATTCTGGGTATTAATAATATAAAAAGACAATAAAATATTTTCTTGCATCAAACTTTTTATGACTTAAGTGCTGATCGATTGGAAAAATCATGTAGTTTAAAATAATGAAAGAAAAAGGGGGCCAGTGATGTAAATTTTGAGATGTTGGTCAAAATGTGTGATTTTCAGGTCAAAAATATTTTTATCTTGACTTTTCAATATATCTTCATATCTTGGCAGAGTCTGTTGAGTGAATGTGTAAAACGTGTTCCGAGTAAAAATATGTAGGGCAAAAGTTATATTATTTTCTATTTATATGCACAATATGTACAGACATTGTCAAAGATTCAAAAGTGAATTGATGATCATGGAGAATGGATCTTTCGCATATGTAACCACTAGTTCTGATAATTAACACCCGTCTCATAATTTAGTTCTCCTCTTTATCTTTACATGGAGAGTCTCCAAATTATAGTTATAACACCTTAATTACAAAACTGAATCAGACAATTATGATTGCTGAATAAACATAATTATATCTGCACAGGGATAATTATACATTTCATTACGGTATAAGCCTATTTTCAACAATTTAAACATGAAAGTTTTTTTAGTAACTTTAGAACGTTTTTTAATAAAGTCAATATTAACCTTATATATAAATATTTATCTTAAAACATCGAAATATATCGTTATAGACAATTAATGTAGATTAAATTCGGCGCGAAATGTCTTGGCGCGAAAAGTCTTCTGAGGCGAATGGTCTCGGCGCGAAACCTCAATAGGGTGGAAACGTCCCGTTACCTATAAAAGCACCTGGCCATGCCGACAAATTGAACACAGCATGCTAGTGTGATATAATTTGTCGGTGTGGACAGCTGACAATTAACTTCCGAAAGTAAGAATTCAATGCTTATATTTACATTCTCTTACTTTCTCTCTTCATAGATGTTAATTTCATTCATCTTTGTTATAATATTTACATTCAGTGTTATTTTCTTTATAAAATCCATTAGAATTAATCCACGATGTTCAAATCTCTATTACACACACGAAACCTGTCACCGTGTGGTAGAATACACAGAAGGAACTATATGCATTTTCAATGCTCTAGTAACACCAAAATGTATGTTGTTTTGACCCAATTTAATAAAAGCAACTACCCTGTGAATTTTTTTTTTCTCCATGCAATGTTCATTTGTGTTATTTAACTTTCCAGCGTCACAAATGGCTCTTACGTCTATTAAGGAAACCAGTTCTGAAGGGTGCTAAATTCATATTAAAGATTAACAAAATAAACAATTATGAAGAGAGAAAATTAGAGAGTGTCAATATAAGCATTGAATTCTTATTTTTGGATGTCGTCGGTCTTATAACACACCTGGCTAACTCGCAGTATTCAATTTGTTGGCACGGCAAGGTGTGTTATAGGACCAACAACATCCAAAAATAAGAATTCAATGCTTAAATAAATTTATAGAGCCTTTCAGAACTGGTGTGCTTAATAGACGTAAGAGCCGTTTTGATGTGGAAAGTAAAATAACACAAATGTATGAATATTGTGAGGGGAAAAAAATTGGCAAATTAATCTTAAGGACATTGGCAAGTCAAGGTTTTCCGGAGAAAAAAGGTTTAATACATGGGTTTTTTTACTTATGAAATAGTGATTGAGAGTGATCTCCCGTGTAGAAATCTCTAAGCGGTGAAAACCAATAAAGCGTATGTTTACAGTGGTAAACAAAAGCACGTGTACTTCCTTCACTTCCTTCAACGGATAGAATCATCTATACAGCAAGAAAGAAAAGTAGTAATGGCTTTGTTGTATTCAGGGGACAAAGAGCCAGCAGGTCGTCATTTACCATAGCTCAGTATGCTGGGAAGAGCAAAGACGTGACATACATGTATGCTGAAAGGTAGACCGACTGAGAACAGTTCTCAGGTTATATGAAGGAAGCAGCATTAGTAACTACGTATAAAAATTGAAATAAATCCATGCCAATATTTTTATGACAATGCATTTCAATCAATTCAGTCAATTACATGATAGAATCAATCAACTAGTCTGACTCTCTTGACCATTATGAATATTTATGTTATTACAGCTGTTAAGGGAAGTAACTCAAATATAAACATCGGCGCCGGTGTGTCCTTGTCTTGTTTCTATATATACATTTTCAGCCAAAATATCTAGAAGTAATAGGAAATGAAGATACAATAATGTATATAATAGAAAAACTCATATGAAATAAGTGGGTTTTGGAGAAATGTTATGGTGAAAAATTATGTTGGTCCCTTTTATCAACATTTTACATAGGAAATGCATTGAAAATGGCAAAAACACTGATTTAACAAAATCTTAAAAAGAAGGTTGGCTTGGTAGGTTTAACAATCCAGAATAAAGCTTGTTTAGTACAATTCAACCTACTCAAGAGTTCTTGAAAAATTCTATACAATAACCAGGAACCTTGCATGTCCTTAAAGGTGCAATTGTTATATTTTTACGGTAACTGAATTGAGTATTTTGTTTTTAATTAAATTGAGCCAAAACAATACACATCTTGGTGTACCTTAGTGTATATAGTTCTATTTGTGTATTCTACTGTGCCATGACAAGGTTTTGTGTGTATTATAGGGGGGTCGAATGTTGTAGATATCCAATGGAATTCATATAGAAAATTGCACTGAATGTAAATATACACATTTGAGGGCCTTAATTTCCTTCATTATCACAGTAATGTAAATAAGTCTTAAATGATAACTAGACTAAGTTAAGCAAGGAGACCTCTTAAAAGTTGAACACAAACTTATTTTTTATATAAAAATTTTAGAAATTTTGTGAGATGTTTTTTTTTTTTGGTGAGATAACCCCATCCCCTTATAAAATAAATAAGATTCAATTCTAAGTAAGATATGTTTAGGCCTCTGTATTAGGACCATGCACAGGCACTTGTTTCTCAAGTGTAATGAATTTTTTAACCCATAGTATAATTATTATACTCTATGGGCTAGAAATTTTAATACAGAAACAATTGAGCATCTGTGGTAATAGGACAAGGAAAGTAGAGAAAAAAAATGAGTGCTGTTGTAATTTTTTTTATGGCTTATTGGCTGTTAGGGCAGTTTTCAAATTTACACTGACCATGTTTAATATTGTTTTTTTGTGTAAATACACTTCATAATACATTTGAACATGTTGAATGTCACCATGAAGCCATCATATCCTTGTCATTAGGGGAAAAAATTATTATTGCTATTATACACCTGTTTGCTATTTGAAAAAAAATTTTAATGAAATTATTTATTAAAATTCTTATTTTTGGACATCGGTCCTACATGTATATTATAACAGCACCTGGCCGTGCCAACAAATTGAATTGAATCCAAAAAATAAGAATTGATCATTGCTTATTTACATTCACTAATAAATTCTCTTTTTTCATAATTGTTGATTTTGTTAATCTTTATTATAAATTTAGCGCCTTTCAGAACTGGTGTGCTTGATAGACGTAAGAGCCGTTATGACATGAAACATTAATAAATGATACAAATGAATATTGCTTGAGAGAAAAAATGACAAATTAATTTTAAACATACAACTGTTATATTTTTACATTGATTTAATAGCCAGAGTAATTGTTTTTAATTAAATAGAACAATATACATTTTGGTGTTAGAGTACTGAAAATACATATAGTTCCTACTGCGTGTATTATTCTAGTGAGATTAGGTTTTGTGTGTGTTATAGGGTTATTGAATGTTTTGGATATCCACTGTATTTCATAAAATTACACACTCTGAATATAATTAATTATTATTGTTATATGAATTATAGTGGAAATCAGGTTTCTAGCTGAATAAATTAGGTTATGAGTCATTAACTTGATTATGCCAAAATAAAAAAAAAAAGATTGTTTCCTTAACCCAACAAAGGATGAATCGTTTAAACGTCCAAATCTGGCCCCCCGATAATTTACAAAAAATTACATTAAAGATTTTCTAAATATTTTTGCCTCAATCTTTCCATCAAACATTGTAGTTTATTGATTTCAATTTTAATTTTTACTTCCTTCCGCTGTAATTAGGTATTTATGTGATTAATATAGCAG